CCGCGGCACGCACCCGCGCCCCCACGGCGGGGTCCCCCCGGCTGGGCATAGCAAAGCGCGGGGGGGGAGCCGAAAGCGGCTCGGGCAAGGGCCAGCCGAGAGCCGGGTTTCCCCTCCCGCTCCTTTCCCTCCGTGCCGAAGAGAGGCACTGAGCTGTGCCGTCCCGCAGGATGCTGCCGGAGCCCCCGGTGCCGGCAGCCCACCGGTGTGCCTCCGGGGTCACTGCCTCTGCCTGCCTCCCCTCGACACCGAGGCATCGCAATGGGGAGCTGGAGGCTGCTCCCGCGTCTCTCCCTTCCCTCAAACCTCTCGCCCTCTTTCCTCCACGAAACCGACCTGGCGTGAGCTGCCCGCAGCAAATCGCCTGAACGGCAGCAGCCCCGGTGCGCGGGCGGTACCGGCGAGGCGGCGGCTGGCAGCCCCTGGCTCCCCCCGGCCACGAAGGCCTTCTCTGGGGCCGGGGGGGCCTCCAGAGAGTGCCCAGCCCCTGGGATCTCTTGAGCCCCTGCCGTAGCTGGCAGCGGGGTCCCGGTGCGGCGGCACCGCGCCCCTCCGGCCGGGCTCCGGTCCGGGAGGCGGCCGAGGCCCCCAGCGCCGCCGTGCTCCCCTCGGCGTGCCCGGCTCCTGCCTCCCTGAGCCGTCTTCAGAGAGAGCCCGTCCTCCATGAGGGCCTTTCTGGAGGGGCTCCGCGGGATGTAGTGCCTCGCTGATTCCCCAGCGTCCTCCGCTCTCCCACTGTAGGACGAAACCAGCCAAGTAAAAGGCGGTACCCACCCCCAGCCCCTCTTTGAAGCTGCAGATTTGTAATGATTTTTTTTGGAAGGAAGCTAAACCCCTCTCCTTCCCCGAGGGGAGGAAGCTGCTGAGGAGCTGTTAAGGCAGAAGGATGCTCGTATGGCAACATATTTTGTAAGTAGAAGTCTCCCCCGACCCTTCCCGAAGGGCAAAGCCCCCACCCACGTCGGGTGGCCGGGTTTCTCGAGGTGGTGTGGGGAAGCTGTGGGTCTGGGGTGGCGGAGGCCAGAGCCACACAGACGTGCTGCGTCTAGCGACAGCCTTGGGCCCTGGCTGGAGGTGACCCATCCCGGAGGGAAGGCGCTGTGTGATGTAGTGAGGGGTGAGGCCCACGGACCTTTGAAACGGGGCTTTCGTTTTGCACGGAGCTATTCCTACACGCGGGTGTATTAAATCCCACGGGATCCCCCGGGGTCGCTCCCGTTTTCTGCTAGGCACGTAAGGAACCAGATGCGGGATGAAGGGCCCTTCGGGTATCGCTGGCTGCCATGTGCATTTCCTTATGCGACAAAATAGCTGAGCCCAGCAGGTTAGCTGGGGCGCCGTGCCTTAGGAGGGCGCGGGAGGGCTTGCGGGGCCGGTCCCGGCTGACCCCGCGCTCCCCCGGGGAAGAAGGGAGGGCGGCCCGCAGCTCCCGCCGCTCCCGCTCCCCCTCCGAGTCTGCGGGCTCGAAAATACCCGGCCTGACCCGCAGGTCTCAGGTGTGCTGACCCTCCCGCGTAGCCCGGGACAAACGCACTTCAAACAAGCCCCCGGCAGACGCTCTCTTGGAAGCGGCTGCGAAGGAGAAGGGGGGATTTTCACGGGGAGATAGATGCCTCTTTCCGCCAGCGTGTGGCTGCAGGCAGGGACCCCCCAGCCCCCGAGCCCCTTGGCCACCCCCAGCCCCCGCCCTTCCGCAGGGGCAGACCTGGTTTTCCACTTGTTTTCCCCTCTTCGGGGGAAAAAGGCTCGGTGAGAGTGGTCCTGGGACACGTCGCCGATCCTTAGTTGGTAGACGTCGCTTTTATTGCTGCCCGCTGCCTTATTTTAGCTTGCTAAAAACCACACGCTTATACACATAAACTGCCTGCTTTCGTGTACGAAAGTACGTGGGAATCCATGAGGGGATAGTTTTACATTAATTGAATTAATATAATATTCACGGAAAATACGTGCACGGAAATACTCGCAACAACTCCGAAACTTCCACAAAAGATTTTTTTTATTGTGTCCCGTCCTCAAACAGGCTGGGGGGCGGAGGGGGACCAGCGCCATGTGTGAGTGTGTGATTTCAATTTTAACAAATTGATTTGACGTCAGGGACAAGACGGAGAATGGAAATGTAATAGGATGAAATTTTGTTTAACAAAGTTTCATCGGATACAAACAAGCCATGTCTGAACATTTCCT